CGTCCAGATCATCGATGGTAGCTTTTTCTGCCATTGTCACAGACGGAACACTTAACTAGCACTTAACACACCGTTTTCACGTTAGCACTTAACGCACCGAGCACTGTTCTACGCCAATATTGCACTTCATCGCACCAAACACTGCACTTGCCAATATTGCACGTAATTACTTCGGGCACCGTACTACACAATATCGCACTGAATCACAGCGAACACTTCGCTCTTCCATATTGCACTGAATCACGCCGAGCACCGCACTACACAATATTGCGCTTAATCGCTTAATCACAGCGAGCACCGCACTGCACAATATCGCACTTAGTCACTGAGCACCGCACAGGACGTATAACGTCCCAATCGTCACACACAGGGGGAATTATTTACAGGGATTACGCCACTTCACCACCCCTGTCAAACATAGTTAACAAGGGGACGGATCCCGCTGGGGATGCCAATTATGTTACGGCCCTCTCGGGTCGCAACTGGGTTCGTACTCTGATGTTGTTAGAGGGAAGGGTATCCGGCCCCAAGCCAGTAGTGGCTTTCAAGGGATGCGATCCGTGACGCAAGTAACTTAAAGGGGAAGGGAAATAAAGTCAAGAACTTAATACTATAATTATTTCCATCACCAATAAATAATATATAAAAAGATTACACGGGGGGAGGGGTATTAACACTGTACAGGGGAATTATTTACACAAACGTCTTCTCCTGAAGACTCTGGATCCAAGCCCTCGGTGCTTTCGTGGCCTCACAACGAATCCTTTGAGAAGCCGAGTCTACCCCGGCCACAGGCCAGCCAAAACACAGTTCCACTGGGGGCACCGCCGTGGAGGCCGTCAACCACAAGTCCAGCAACACAGCTGGCAGGTTCCGGATCAGCAATGCTGGTCAGGCCACTCCACGAGCGATACTAGGGTAGCGCCCTAGTCAGGAGCCTCGTGTGATACCACAGATCACTCTCCTGTCTACAATACCCCAGTGGTTAATCGTCTCCAGCAGTCGGTCCCGGGAATGACAATCCTTCACTGCCGCTTCACAGGCAGGGTAACACCACAGTGTTCCTCCGGGAGATGACTCACAGCTGCTGCAGCAAAGCACAAGGTATGGGGACGGCTGCCTTGGGTAGACTGACTCAACTTCCCTTACAGCAGTCCCAGGTCGACTCTGTAAGCAGACACGTCATCAATAACAGGGACACACTAAAGCACCTCACTTACAGGCTCAGACCCAAACGCCCGACGTATCCACTCCCTAGATGGCGTTGTCGGCCGAGCACCACCTCACCAGAGGTCAGCAGTGGCTGTGTTGAGCGCTGAACGGGACTGGAAACTGGCCCTCGTAGCCAGTACACGTTGTCCTGACCTGGTGTCGTCGTCCGTTTGGAGGGGGTTTCGGGAGCTGAACCACAGATGGCGTGGTCGTCACTGCTCCGTGCTCGGACGCTGGATCCGGGTCCGTAACACTCCCCCTCCTCGTCTAATATACCTATCTGTGTGAAATAGTTTAAATCCATTTATCTGATATTCAGCTAATAGTTCTCTATTTTCTACATTCATCCACGTTTTGGTAAGTGCAATAATATCTATTTTTTCTGTGCAGACAAGAGCATTTAATTCATTAATTTTATTTCTTAGACTTCTACTGTTAGTGTAATATATCCTAAGTGAATTGTTATTTTGAGGCCCCTTTTTTTTCGTTGATCATTTTGCCAATTCTTTTCTCCCACGAACACATACTTACGAAACAGAGAGTTAGTATAAATGGGGTTCAGTCAGAGTGGGATAATGTTGTTAGTGGAGTACCTCAGGGCTCTGTCCTGGGACCTCTGTTGTTTATAATATATATAAATGATTTAGATTCAGGTTTGAGTAGCAACATCTGCAAACTTGCAGATGATACAAAAATCGGTAGGGAAATCAACACGAAAGAAGACTCGCTATCACTTCAAGTTGATCTAAATAGGGTTTTAGAATGGTCAAAAGATTGGCAGATGCAGTTTAATGCTGATAAATGTAGAGTTTTGAGGCTGGGTAATGATGATAGAGTTACAAGATATGAGCTAGATGGTGTTGAGATTGCAAAGTCGGATTGCGAAAGGGATCTGGGAGTTATGATTAGTAAGAATTTAAAACAAAAAGATCAATGCATGAATGTTCGTAATAAGGCGAATAGGACACTGGGATTTATTAATCGAAGCGTTAGTAACAAGACACCTGGTGTGGTTCTTCAGCTATATCTTGCTCTGGTTAGGCCCCATTTAGATTATGCAGTTCAGTTTTGGTCGCCGTACTATAGAATGGATATAAATTCACTTGAACGTGTCCAGCGTAGGATGACAAAGTTAATTCCCCAAATTATAAGTCTTTCATATGAAGAAAGATTAACAAAGCTTAAGTTGCATTCACTGGAAAGACGAAGAGTTAGGGGTGACATGACAGAAGTTTACAAGTGGATGAATGGACATAACAAAGGGGATATTAATAGGGTATTAAAAGTATGAACTCAAGACAGAACACAAAACAATGGGTATAAATTGGATAAGTTTAGATTTAGGAAAGACTTGGGTAAATACTGGTTCGGTAACAGGGTTGTTGATTTGTGGAACCAATTACCGCGTAACGTGGTGGAGGTGGGGTCCCTCGATTGTTTCAAGTGCAGGTTGGACATGTATATGAGTGGGATTGGGTGGTTATAGATAGGAGCTGCCTCGTATGGACCAATAGGCCTTCTCCAGTTACCTTTGTTCTTATGTTCTTATTGTAACACCACCAATTGTAACACCACTCTAAAGTGTACCACTATAATGGAACACAAAACTAATAATGTAAACACTACTTATCCTGAGTAACACTTCCCCATTGGTTGCACTTGGTAACACTGTTATGAGCTGACATATGATGGTTACACTGGAACTAAAAAGTACACTGCCAACAAGGAAATGCTAACCCAAGGATTAAATACGCTGCCACCATCTGCCTTTGACCATTGAGACTATATCAAGCAACGAGGCAAGAAACATCGCTTGACTTGGAGAGTACTTTCTATGACTGTCATTAATTATGAAAACGGTTGTCAGCCACTATATCCAAAAGGCTAAGAGGATTCAACAATTGACACAGACGGGAAATTTAACATGAGTTTATTAAAGACCAAAATTATGTCAATCACCACTTATAAATCCTACTCTAACACTGGCAAAAATTTAAGAAATTTGGACATGGAACAAAACCTTAGAGATCACACACATTACCTTAAGATATCTGTCTCTCCCTGGCTGAGATGATCTTCACAGCCCTCTCTGGACCCCGGTGTCCCGCACTCTGTCCTTACTAAGTCCCTACAGGACCTCTATATACAACCCCCACAGGGAGGAGGAGGGAGATCTGCTGTTGCTACCTACCCCAAGAATGTAAGAGATCGGCCACTAGTGTACAAACACTCAAGATATATTTCAATAAGCTTGTTTGACATTCACCATACACTCTTCAAGAGAGGAGTTATTAATTACGTGTGTGACTGACCTCTGACCTGGCCAAAAGGGGGAGAACCAGGGATGTTTACACATAAGAGTCTGGAGTCTAATTCCCTTGCATGAAATATTACATACTTGAAACTATGCTGACTAAGACTAACCCAGGAATTTTTTTAATCAACATATAAGATAATCCGGAGGTCATCTGGGCTGACCTCTTGGAGAAGGCTTCCCTGGGTGTGAACTCTAAGGGGGGGGGGGAAGTCATGGGTGTTACATTATGTTTATGGGAAAATAGGAGAAGCAAAAAATGGCATCACAGATCAGTCTGCTACCTCGAAGAACTTCACCTGCTTGAGCAAGCCCGTGAGCTCCTGCCTGTAGAGAGGTTACCTCCCTGGGAGGATGACCCATGCAGGATTATCATCAATGAAATGGCAACAACAACAAAAAAACATACCACAAGAAATGAGGTACAAGTATCTCGGTGAAATTTATAAACAAGCTGGAATTGAACTAAATAAATCTACTCTGATGGGTCATCTAACCCTGTCAATGGCAGGGCTGGTGCAGCATACACGGTAATTAGGAATAATGTCTTTCAACGCAGAAATGAAAAGAAAGCAGGTATTGAGTACTATGCCTCTTCAACGCAAGCAGAGCTAACTGCCATTGATATGGCGTTAAGATTCCTTAACGAAACACTAATGGCGCAGTGATCTGCACTGACTCAAAAGCAGCGGTACGTAGGCTAAGTAAAAATCGGGCAGAAAATCTTGCAATAGTCGCTGAAATTAATAGAGCTGTGAGAGTACTTGCCAATCAGGGAAGAGTCATCAAGTTTCTGTGGATCACCTCCCATGTTGGAATATGTGGGAATGAACGAGCAGATGTGCTGGCTGCTGAAGGCGCTGAAGGAGACCATATTGAATACTTCATACCAAAGACTCAACTACAAATTAGAGGTATTATCAGGCAACATCACCGTGACAAGGTAACTGAGGAACGGAGGATAGAAGCACAAATCAGTGAATCTGTACGATGGTACAACATGGTTGCAGCTGGCAACCTTAATTGTTCAACCCGCTCTCGCACAAGACAGTACACATATGACTTATTGCTTATAGTCAATATTTGGCTTATTAATAAGTACATATATGGTATATATTTCAAGTTATATATTATTTTTAAGGTACAAACTCTTCCTACCAATCTGCTATACACCAGGTTTGGTATTAAGAATTTATTTTTCAGTTTTATTAAACAACAGAGATTATATACAAAATTTGACAAAATCCAGAGTTACTTTACAATTTATTTAAATATTTTAGTTTTGCTTTATTATTTTTATAAAACTGAAATATCTATATAGGTATAAGTACTAATTGTAATTAAGAAGCAATAAGATGCTTATCTTAACATACTAAGAAGGTTAGGTCGGTGTTTTCTATTCAGCTTTTCAAGGTAAACTTAAATATTCACAATAAATTAGTGCCCTTCTCCCCCCCCCCCCTCCCGGGCACAGTGCCCCTGGAGGGCGAGTGCCCAGAGGAGTCGTCAGTAGCCGCCTGTGATACCAAAGGACGCCAGTTCGAATCCCTGTGCAGATTGGTACGGGAAGACGCTGTCCTCGCCTACCTGGGCACCTGTAGAGTGAGTATTGTTACCTGTGGCACCTGTAGAGTGTTGTTACCTGTGGCACCTGTAGAGTGAGTATTGTTACCTGTGGCACCTGCAGAGTGTTGTTACCTGTGGCACCTGTAGAGTGTTGTTACCTGTGGCACCTGTAGAGTGAGTATTGTTACCTGTGGCACCTGTAGAGTGTTGTTACCTGTGGCACCTGTAGAGTGTTGTTACCTGTGGCACCTGTAGAGTGAGTATTGTTACCTGTGGCACCTGTAGAGTGTTGTTACCTGTGGCACCTGTAGAGTGTTGTTACCTGTGGCACCTGTAGAGTGAGTATTGTTACCTGTGGCACCTGTAGAGTGTTGTTACCTGTGGCACCTGTAGAGTGAGTATTGTTACCTGTGGCACCTGTAGAGTGAGTATTGTTACCTGTGGCACCTGTAGAGTGTTGTTACCTGTGGCACCTGTAGAGTGAGTATTGTTACCTGTGGCACCTGTAGAGTGAGTATTGTTACCTGTGGCACCTGTAGAGTGAGTATTGTCTCTCACATATATTCAATTACAAGAGCTTTATCATGTGATTTATGTGAGCAGTGTGCGGGGCAGTGTGAGGGTCAGTGTGAGGGTCAGTGTGTGAGCAGTGTGAGGGTCAGTGCGTGAGCAGTGTGAGGGGCAGTGTGTGAGCAGTGTGAGGGTCAGTGCGTGAGCAGTGAGGGACAGCGTGTGAGCAGTGTGAGGGACAGCGTGTGAGCAGTGTGAGGGGCAGTGTGAGGGGCAGTGTGTGAGCAGTGTGAGGGGCAGCATGTGAGCAGTGTGAGGGGCAGTGTGTGAGCAGTGTGAGGGGCAGTGTGTGAGCAGTGTGAGGGGCAGCGTGTGAGCAGTGTGAGGGGCAGTGTGTGAGCAGTGTGAGGGGCAGTGTGTGAGCAGTGTGAGGGGCAGTGTGTGAGCAGTGTGAGGGGCAGTGTGTGAGCAGTGTGAGGGGCAGCGTGTGAGCAGTGTGAGGGGCAGCGTGTGAGCAGTGTGAGGGGCAGTGTGTGATCAGTGTGAGGGGCAGTGTGTGATCAGTGTGAGGGGCAGTGTGTGAGCAGTGTGAGGGGCAGTGTGTGAGCAGTGTGAGGGGCAGTGTGTGAGCAGTGTGAGGGGCAGTGTGTGAGCAGTGTGTGAGCAGTGTGAGGGGCAGTGTGTGAGCAGTGTGTGAGCAGTGTGAGGGGCAGTGTGTGAGCAGTGTGAGGGTCAGTGTGTGAGCAGTGTGAGGGGCGGTGTGTGAGCAGTGTGAGGGGCAGTGTGTGAGCAGTGTGAGGGGCAGCGTGTGAGCAGTGTGAGGGGCAGCGTGTGAGCAGTGTGAGGGGCAGTGTGTAAGCAGAGTGAGGGGCAGTGTGTGAGCAGTGTGAGGGGCAGTGTGAGCAGTGTGAGGGACAGTGTGTGAGCAGTGTGAGGGGCAGTGTGTGAGCAGTGTGAGGGGCAGCGTGTGAGCAGTGTGAGGGGCAGTGTGTGAGCAGTGTGAGGGGCAGTGTGTGAGCAGTGTGAGGGGCAGCGTGTGAGCAGTGTGAGGGGCAGCGTGTGAGCAGTGTGAGAGGCAGCGTGTGAGCAGTGTGAGAGGCAGTGTGTGAGCAGTGTGAGGGGCAGCGTGTGAGCAGTGTGAGGGGCAGCGTGTGAGCAGTGTGAGGGGCAGCGTGTGAGCAGTGTGAGGGGCAGTGTGTGAGCAGTGTGAGAGGCAGCGTGTGAGCAGTGTGAGAGGCAGTGTGTGAGCAGTGTGAGGGGCAGTGTGTGAGCAGTGTGAGGGGCAGCGTGTGAGCAGTGTGAGGGGCAGTGTGTGAGCAGTGTGAGGGGCAGCGTGTGAGCAGTGTGAGGGGCAGAGTGTGAGCAGTGTGAGGGGCAGTGTGTGAGCAGTGTGAGGGGCAGCGTGTGAGCAGTGTGAGGGGCAGCGTGTGAGCAGTGTGAGGGGCAGTGTGAGAGCAGTGTGAGAGGCAGTGTGAGAGCAGCGTGTGAGCAGTGTGAGAGCAGCGTGTGAGCAGTGTGAGAGGCAGCGTGTGAGCAGTGTGAGAGGCAGCGTGTGAGCAGTGTGAGGGGCAGTGTGTGAGCAGTGTGAGAGGCAGTGTGAGAGCAGCGTGTGAGCAGTGTGAGAGCAGCGTGTGAGCAGTGTGAGGGGCAGTGTGTGAGCAGTGTGAGGGGTAGTGTGTGAGCAGTGTGAGAGGCAGCGTGTGAGCAGTGTGAGAGGCAGCGTGTGAGCAGTGTGAGGGGCAGTGTGTGAGCAGTGTGAGAGGCAGTGTGAGAGCAGCGTGTGAGCAGTGTGAGAGCAGCGTGTGAGCAGTGTCAGGGGCAGTGTGAGAGCAGCGTGTGAGCAGTGTGAGAGCAGTGTGTGAGCAGTGTGAGGGGCAGCGTGTGAGCAGTGTGAGGGGCAGCGTGTGAGCAGTGTGAGGGGCAGCGTGTGAGCAGTGTGAGGGGCAGCGTGTGAGCAGTGTGAGGGGCAGCGTGTGAGCAGTGTGAGGGGCAGTGTGTGAGCAGTGTGAGAGCAGCGTGTGAGCAG